AATCCCCAGTATGGGGGGGGGGTGCGGTGAGGGGGGATGGAGTTCTGCAAAAGGTTGAGGACATAGCACAGTGGGACAGCATTTGTCCAGTGTGCACAAGGACCTGGGTTCTATCCCCTGCACTGGGATAAAAAAAAAAAAAAAAAAAAAAAAAAGTTTTACAGAACTAACAAAAACTTTTCCTCTATAGTTCACAAAGAACAAGGGATGACAAACAGGGTAATACGTTTAATTCTGACATTTGTGTCCCCTAAGTAAGTTGGATGTAGGGGCTGGGGTTATGGGTCAGTGGTAGAGCACTTGCCTCACATGTGTGAGGCACTGGGTTTGATCCTCAGCATCAAGTAAAATAAACAAATAAAATAAAGGTATTGTTTCCATCTACAATTAAAAAAAAATCTTTTAAAAAGTTGAATGTATTCTGAATTTTCCTTTAGCTTGGACCTGGATATCATCTAAGACAAGGGACAAGAAGAAGTGGCTTCTACAATCAGCACCCCAAAAAGAGGAAGGGGATTTGAGAAATAAATTTGTTTAAAACAAAGTAGCAAAAAACAGGGACTGTGGTAAGAAACAGTCCTCATTGCAGCTGCTAGAGGAGGAGGATCTGAAATTAAGAAAAGAATAGGGACACTGACATCCTATTACTCAGCAAATAGCAAAGATGCCATTTAGAGAAGTCAATGGAAAACGTATTTATCATTATCCAGAAAATTCACTTGGCCTAACTACTTTAGACCAGTGTTCAATAGCTGGGCAAATAAAGCAGCAAGTAGCCAATTAACATCACACTTCTTCCTTATTCTTGCCTTGTGGAGAATATAGGCCCAAATATCCTAAGAAATTATTTCAGGGGGCTGGGGAGTAACGGAGTGGTAGAGATCTTGCCTGGCATGTACAAAGTCCTGCATCCCATCCTAGTGCCCAATAATCAAACACATAGTAATTTTAAAATAGTGGGAAGGAAACTCAAAATCTTATGTTGTTTCAGCAGGGCATGGTGGCTTTCACCCACAGGCCCAGCTCTCAGGAGGCTGAGGGAAGCACATCACTTGATCCAGAATAATAGTGCCAGCCTGGGCAACATAGAATGAATCTAAAAAGTTAGACAAAAGTAAAAAGCTTTAAAATTTTGTCTTTTAAAAAAACCTAAATAGAGCAGTTAAAAATATAAGCAATAACCAAACACCTTTTGTGTTTGTATGCTACTGAGGAAGAAACCCAAGGTCTCGAACATTACATCAAATGTTCTGCCCCCTCGAATCCCCAGCTAATCCTCAGCCCCTATTTTATTTTATTTTATTTTTTTAATTTTATGGCTACATTGTTCAGGGTTGTCTCAAGCA